GTCCTGATGCAATCTGAGAGGAAGGGGAACAAAGGTTCTAATATGTGTTAGCATCTTGAACTTTTGTGGAGGAGGAACAGTCGTTATTTGTGTGATGTGTCAGAGGGTGGGGCAGTGGGGCTACTGCCAGCCACTCAGGAGCCTTGTGTAACCTTTCTCCTCTGAGTGGGGCTCAGGAGGACAGAGGACAGTTGTCTTGTAGCAACAATACTAAAAATTGTGTGTAACAAGTTGACATAAATACATAAATTACATACATACAATAGCGTACACACACACTATGACACTATATGATTCACTAGTACTACCAGACAGTAAATTTACTTAAAATCAATAATAATTACAATAAGCTGCTTCTCGTTCAAACAGATATACTTGGTCCACAGAGACAAAGCAAGTAGATATTCTAACAGAAAGATAACACTACGAGCGGTATAAGGATTATTTTATAGGCCATATTTAGATATTCAGGTTAGCCAAGATTAACATCTTAGAAGAAAAAATAAACTTGACTGCATCTACCAAATACAAAACTGTGGCCCACACTTCAATAATCCTAGCACTTATTAAGAACTGAACCAGGAGGATCAGAGGTAATATGGGCTACATTGTAACTTTCTGTGGGTCTATGCTTCATAGAAATATCCTGTCTCAAGAAAATGTATAATTATATAAAATAAACAGGGTAAACTCAGAAGTAGAATGGTTATGAATCAGATATGTGAAAACAAGACTGATTTTATACTTTCAAATCACAGAGCAGTAAAGGCGAAAAAATGATATATACAACTTTAAACTTTGGAATGTCCAGAATTATGTAATAAAATAAGCAACCTTGACAAATTACTGTTTTGTTATTTGTTTGGTTTGGAGACAGAGCCTCACCAAATAGTCTTGAGTCACCCAGAACTCCCTGTGTCGACCAGGCAGGCGCGAACTTACAGAGATCTTCCTGCCTTTATCTACCCAGTGCTGAGATTAAAGCCATGTGCCAACACACCCAACTGACAAATTATTCTTAAAATTACAATATGTAATTTATAGGCTTATTACATTAATTATTCTTAACTCAAGGGCCCAATTTATAAGTTACCAGACCAAAACAAAGTGAATAAACACATGAACAGTCTGAATTTCAAGCACTAAAACAGAATACGGGTGCTGTAAATTCCAGCCTTGATCAGAGAAATGATGGGATAAGATATCTATGTTTTCTCACTTATGAATTTTCTAATACCAAATGACAGCCTGTCTGTGCCGTGTCCTTGTCTGCAGAGGGTTTCACAACTCACCATAGCAAGCATTTACAAATAGCAACACTTAAGCACTCTTTAATCCAGAAGACTGGTAGAATTTTATTCCAAAGACATCATCCAGAACAATGAAAGTCCCCTGTGAGAAGATGCTTGTCAGTCATTTATAATAACAAAGATGCTGATCTCAGAGGAGGTAAAATGGGAAGTGGAATAATATATACCCAGAAATGGTAACACACTGGGGAGAATACTCATCAATATAATTAGTGCTGTGACGTGAGGTGGCAAAGATGGTGTCATTTCATGTGACTTCCAAGGTGTAAATGCACCCGAGATACCAGTGTGACACCTCATTAACAAACTGAGGTGGCAAAATTCAGGACAATTTTCTTATGCATCCATCCATATTTTCTGCTCCTTTTGAATATTGAAAGCACTGCATTTCTTCTCTGAAATTCATATTTGACCTCAATATCCATTTGCTTATATATCTGCTCAGTCAGTTAGTTTTGAGACAGAGTTTAGCTGCATATACCAAGCTGACCTGGAACTCAGTTTATATCCCAGGCTAGCCTCAAAATCAGGATCTTCCTGCCTCAGTCTCCCAAATGCTGGGATTACAGACATGCACCATCATACTCAACATCTGTTTTTTAAATATTATAGACACTTATGGCTGACATTAAAGATGAATGTCATATTTACAGTACTTGCATCGGAGAATTAGAAAACCAGATATACAAGAGTTTCAAAGGTCCCATCCCTAGAAAGGCACACACTCATCTTCCAGAAACCATATGCCCAACTGAAAAGAACCAAACCCCTTAGGATTAATAGGAATTCTAATCCTAAGATCCCTTATGAGACCTTACTCTCACGAAGAAAGATAACACACACGGTCCATTATCCAGTATTGAGAAATGTCCTCCAGTGACTGTATTACAAAAGATAACACTGCTGTCATGGTTAATAGGACTCCCAGCATCATTGCTTTTTCACCAGAGTTCAGAGGTTCTGTGGTTGAAATAACACCATTTCAGAGCAGAGATTGCCATGTTCAACACACAGCAGCAGGAACCATACGGATTCTCACCAAAGTGTCCACAAGTGGCGGCAGAGCAGAGCACACATGCCCTTCAAGGGTGCAAAACCACACAGCATGGGTTCCTAACACACGACGAGGTGGAGGTAGTCTTGAGACTAGGTCAATCTGTGTTCCTCATGCCAGGGGTGGGAGAAACTTCACCATAATTACAAGGTGGAGCAGCCACCTGTTCATAAGAACCAGCATGGCTAAGTCACTTATCCAGACCCCCTAAATTTGGGTGTCAGTGAGAATGTCTTGGCAATCTATGGGGCCTCAAGTAGTAGATCAGTATTAGTCCCTGGCATACAAATGGACTTTGGGAGCCCATTCCACAAAGGAGGAATGCTCACCCTCCTTGGGGAGCAAAGTGGTGATTGTGTAGGGCATAGGAGGGGCAGGTAAGGAGGGGAGGGAGAGGGAGCTGGGATTGACATGTAAAACGAGCTTGTTTCTAATTTAAATTAAAAAAATAAAAAAATATATAATGATGTCCTTGTGATATATTCCAAAAAATGAGCTGTTTAAAAGAGCTAAAGAATATAGTATCAAAAAAAAAAAAAAAGAACCAGTGTGAGACCTAACAGTTTATGTGAAGACCATAGGGCCTCCCCTCTTGGTATACATGAGACATTTTGCAAACCTTTGTATCCATCATCTTATTTTTAATGGAGCAAGGAAATGGGCACAAAATCCAGAGGGAATGTGTATGCACTCCACAGAAATTACTCGGTTCTGTTATAGAAGTCAGCTTACAGTCAGGCAGGTCTGAGGGAAGGCTAAAGAAGCTTTGAGCATCTCCACTGATGTCTTCACTTAGCCAAGTTCCCTGACCAATGAAAGATACTTGTTTACGCTATGTACTAGGGAGGAGGGCTCTCTGGAACATGCAGTTTATTTAGGATGGTCTGCATTCCTCTTTTCTTGGGTTCTTAATTCTCTCTTCTTACTTTCTCTGTCTATCAGCAGGCCAGTAAATGACTCCCACCATCACGGTCTTTGTAAAGAGAGGCACACCTTTGAACTCTGATGAAAAAGTTTGTAGTGATTAAAGCCTCTGTGTGTGTGTGTACCTGTTAGTGGCTGAGGCCTCCTTTGTGCCTATCGGAATGCTGTTAAGTCCTGGGGGGGAAGATCAGTTTGCTGAAGTGCGAGCTGATCTCTGCTGTCACTGCAATGCCAGAAGCTTGGTGATTTAGTCATACTACTATGACATTAGTCTAGAGATCCATGCTGCATTTGTAGTGATCAGTTAAGACCTGCTGCTTCCCAAGTAGAATCCGGGTCCTGAAGATGATTTCATGAAGACATGGATGCATGTCAGCTCCCTGATGCCTTTCTCTCTTCCTCCCCTGGAGACAGGATCACTACATTATAAGTGTCCAGGAGAAGTCACTATCGAGTAGAGCGGATGTGATTATGAAACCCACTGACACACATCACAGTAAATAAAATTAAGACAGATTTTCAAATAAGATTTAGGAAACTCCAACACTTCATCTCCATTCCTAAACTTGTTTATCCTACATGTTCCGGAAGCCCTCGTGGTAACTGCCAATACTTTCATACCCTTCCACTCTTTTATCCTTTCCTACATAACCAATGGCCTCCACTTGGCCACTTGGTGTTTTATGAATATTTCCTCCTCAATGTCATGAAAGTCTTCTAGTTCGTCTTGTGTGATGGTCCATCACCTCGCATTTCTGCAGTCTGCCTCTGTCCTCTGCTGAGAGAATAGCTTCCCTAATCTGTGCTTCTAAGGACCACGAAGATACTTATGCATCAGTGTTTACTAGAACACTATTCACAGTCATAGTTATGAGACTGACCGGTGTCTAGCAACACAGAGGTGGACAGAATGTGGTCCATAGGCAATATAAGCGCATTGAGTCATAAAGGAGAATGAGGTCATGGTTTTTTTTTTTTTGGTTTTTTGGTTTTTTTGTGAAGAAATGGTGTGACAGGAGAACAACATACTAGGGGAATTCAGCCAGTCTCAGGAAGACATCGTGACTCTCGTTTGTGGTTCCTAGATTTCAGATAGAAACCTAACATCATGTATGACATGAAATCAGAATGAAACCAAGAGAATAGTAGCACGTGGGAGAAAGGGGAGGTTGGAGCCTATGGGAGGGACATGCTCAGTGTGCCATGTGGATTTGTATGGAAATGCCCTTTTATGAGCAGTATTGTGTTCAGTGAATATATGCAAGGAATACTTTTCAAGAAATAATTTTGCTATTTCTCTCCGACAGATGCCGCATCATGACATCAAGACCAGCCTGATGATGGGGAACCCAGTTCCTCAGGCTGGTTTCCCAGTCCTCCCTCCCCCGACTTGCTGCTGTAATGCAGTACTCTCCTGCTTCTGTACTTTCAGCCAAGCTTGAATTACCCTCTGCTTCCTCACTCTCTGCCCCTTCGGCGTCCTATTCCTATTCCCAAGGGACTGTCCGAAAGCCCCAACTCCAAACACCCTCACCCAGGGCACCACCTTACAGAGAGCAACACCCGTTCAGCCATACCTGTCCACATTCTAATCAAATGTTAATAATATTGAAAATATGTATTTCCCTTCTCAAAGTAACTAGCACAGAGGTTTAAAACGGTAACTGATACATTTCCTAAGTGCCTGATTTTTGTCTTCCTTTTCTTTTCAGTGGCACCACCCCCCTATACTAACGACCACGAGATGGACTATCGCGCAGACTTGCCTCCACCCTACTCTCCAACGCCACAAGCTTCAGCCCAGCGTTCCCCACCCCCTCCTTATCCTGGAAACTCAAGGAAACCATCCTCTTCCCACAACAGAATATGTGCCTAGCCATTCTACCCAGAACCAAATGCCTTAATTTAGAAACATGCAAAAAAAAAAATGGTTGTCTACTGATTAAGGACAGATACTGTCTCAGGCAGCATTGGAAGCCAGGGTTCCCGCCCTGCTCAGAGCTGACACTAGGTGGAGAATTCTGCTGGGTTCTCTGCAGACACATCGTAAGGGATCCCACTCACCGCACAGTCAGATTAAAGCAATGCGCTCGGCGGGTCAGCTGATACCCATGCTGCTTTAAGACTAGCTAGAGGAAATTTCAATATTAGAACCCCGAATAAAAAGAAGAACAGAAGATAGTCTGATCTCCATCAAGAAACAGGTATGTTCCGGATAGCTTTGGCAGAACAAGAATTGTTCAGTATTTCATTTGCCCACAAATATGTATGAAGCGCCTTAGAGTCTACTCCGTGCCTGGCACCAACAGCGGCACTGCACGGAAGAAACCGGAAGAGAACTTGGGTTTTAGCACAGGCATTACCTCATCTTGTCGCACTTTGCCCTTTAGCACTTTCCAGATGTTGCATTTTTTTTTTTTACAAATTGAAGGTTTGTGGTAACTTCCTATCTTCGTATCATATTTGGTAATTCTCACAAAATCTCAAATGTTTTCATTGTTGTTATTATGTCTGCTATGGTGATCTGTGGTCGGGAACAGTTGATACTGTTAATAGTGGTCTTCTGTTTTGTTTCGAACTCTGCACCTATAAGACAGTGAGCTTAGTACATTGATAAATGTTGTATGTACTTTGGGTGCTTCACTGGAAAACTTCTCCCTTCCCCTCCCTTTTCTGAGAGCAGTATTGAAATAAGGCCAGTTAATAAGCCAACAATGACCTCTAAGTGCTGAAGCTAAAAGAAAAGTCATACATCACTGGCTTTAAACTCAAAGCTGGAAATAATTCATCTTGGTGAGGAAGGCGTGTTCAAATCTGAGATAGATGGAAAGGCCGGCGTCTTATACCAGTTCATCCGCTAAGCTGTAAACACAAATGGAGATTTCCTGAAGGAAACTAAAACCGTCTCTCTCCGAGCGCATGAAAAGAAAGAAAAGAGAAAGCTGAACCATTGCTTATAAGGAGGACTCTAGTGCTGTGGGTAGCAGATCAAACAGCCACATTCGCTTCAGGCATAAAGCTTAATCCAGAGTTAGGCTCCAACTCTCTTCATCCTGCAAAGGCTGGCAGGGGCGGGCGAGACTGCTGTAAGAGAGGGGACTGAAGGAGCGGAGATCAGTTCCCGAAGTTAAGGAGAGAAGCTGCCTCTTCAATTCACAGCGGAAAGTGAAGCAGCAGGCACTGCTTTGTCGGCCTCGGCCTGCTAGCCCAAAGACCTACTTAGGATCACCCCATAAAGACGGCTGCAGTAAATCTGCATCGAGATACAAATATAGGACCCTACTGTTGGAAGGCATGCCCTTTAGAACTTCCACAGCCAGGGGAAAGAAGCCATCCTGACTCCAAAGCCTCCAAAGACAGGCTGGCTTTCTTGTTAGTATATATGACACAAATGGTGACTTTCAGATGAAGCCAATATTCAGTGTTCGTTTACTGCTCAAAACTCCTAGCACTCTTAAGAATATACTAAGTCTACTCTGTCTGTAATCTATAATTAGAGCAATCAAGTCAATTTTCAATGTAGTTTGGTGAATATTTTAAGTCAAGTGTTGGGACCTACTGCTCAGGGGAAAACAAGGTTTCTTTCAACATTGTATTGCTCATTGACAGTACACTGACCATCCAAGAGCTCAGATGGAGATGTATGAAGAGACAAAGATAGTTTTTATATTTACTTATGTTCCAACCCACTCTGTGTCCCATGGATAACATAAACTTCAAGCCTTATATATGATAAAGCCTTTTATACAGTCATAGCTGACATAGAAATGAGGTCTTCTGGATGCTTGACAAAATAAATTAGAGGCATCCTGGAAAGAACTCACCATTGTAGAAGCCATTAAAAACATCCATGATTCATGAAAAGAGGTCAGGATATCAATATTAATATTCTCCTGGAAGAAGCTGATTTCAACCCTTGTGCAAAATTCTGGTGGTTTTAAGACTTTGGTGGAGTAAGTACCTACACATATGATAGAACCATGAGGGAACTAGATGGAACTTGAAGATGTAACTCAGTCAGACCTCATAGTATCACTACCGATGAACAATGGCTTCCTATGGGTGAGCAGTGAAAAGTGGTTTCTTCGGCTGAAATATACTCCTGGAGAAAGGTGCTGGAGACAGAAATGAGATGATTGCAAAGGGTTTATTTTCAAGTTATTTGATAAGCCAGCAGCAGGATTAGAAATAACTACAAACTTAATGAAGACACACTGTTTATTAAAAGCTACCAAACAGCATCACGTGCTACAAATAGCCCTTTGGTGAGAAGTTTCAAGCATACAGCAGGCTTCACTGCACTTTTTAAGGATCTAACAGCCTTCCAGCTTCAGCAGCCACTAGCCTAATCTCTGAGCAGCTCTCACCTCTCCACCAACAAAAAGATCTGGACCCGCTGAAAGCTTGGGTGCTAGTTGGTGTTTTTTAGCAATAAAATATTTTTAATACGGTTATATACATTGCTTTGAAGAAACTTAATACACAGCAGTACAGTGTAAACATAGCTTCTATGTGCACTGGGAAACCAAAAAGTATTCATGTCATTCTCTTGTGAAATTTTCCTTATAAGAAAGACAAGCAGTTTCCCAGAGGACATGGAAGATGTGTTACTGATAGCAAGTAGGAGATCAAACCCATGCCATCTCTAAGATATATCTGTAAAAACAAACAACAAACAAAAAGCCAGTTGCAGCATCGTTGTTGACTAGATAGCTTCACTGTCAAGACTCCAAACAAGATTTATATGCAGTAAGGAAATATTCTAGAAAGGATAGTCAAAATGAATAGCAGATTAGTCCTTTTAGCTTCAATTTTTTCCTGTTTTAGGTTTGCGTGAAATGGCCAGCTGTGTCTCGTTATTCATTAATTTGATTATTTAAACAAAATCAAAGGTGCTCAACAGGTTCTGGGAGCTAAAATCTCCTTAGTTATTACTAACCCCTCCTAAAAACCACTTGGCTTTAGGCACTGGTGTAATGAAAATTGCTCCAACTGTGGAATAAAAGGTGAGAAACCATATTCCCAGGAATTTTATATCAGTAATAAAATGCCAGAATTTGACCATATACAACAGACTTTTTGAAAGGTGGAGATAAAATTTGATTTCTTTCTATAGAAATATGCTCAAATATGATAGCCATTTTTTTACATTTTATAAACTTTAAATAATCTATTCTTTTAGAAAAAATCATATAATTAATGGGAAAGGTAAGGAGGCACACTGTTATCTTTTACCCAAGTAGAGATTCTTATGAAGTGCTTACCTTCAAATATAAAAGCAGTCAATAAATATTTCAAACCTGCCATAGTCTACAGCAAGTGGCCTTAACATTTTTCCTTTTATGTGGGTCCTTTTGTGTACTTTTGAACTGTTTGCTGAACACAGGGGTTAAATGATGAGACCTTTATGTCACTTTAACAAGGAACCTAAAACAGTCAATGCAGTATCATGATTATAATTCAGTGACATCCCAAAATGACACTAAGAAACTTGGTAAATAACCAGAAGAAATACCTTACAGTATAAGTTGTAGAATCTGCCCTTGCAGTTGGGAAACAATATGAGTGAGTAGTGACTTTTATTGTAACAGATATCTGCATTAGAAATGTGTTGATCTGACTGAATATGGTCTTCAGTGAGGTATTAAGGCTAGATTGGTTTTGAATGACTTGCTTGGCTTGGGAGAGGATAACCTTAGGAAGACTTGAAACCTTCAGGGGTTCCTGGCTGTTCAAGTATGTGGCTCCCTGCCTCGCATGAAGTATTAGCACAGTGTTGACTGTGCACAGGCTTTGATTTATTTTTCATCTGCAAATCTGATTAGTCTCTACTACTCTACAGCTATTATTCACAATGCCAAAGTCTCTGGGGTTTGATAATCTTGCTTGCAAATGCACTACACATTCCTAATTTTTAAAAAAATGGAGAGGCAAGTTGTTTGAAATGGAACACTCACCTTTGCACTAATATAGACCCACCATGTGCATCCTATGTTCTAGAAATACTACCTGCCAGGGAACCATTTCTACCCACATCATCTCTCTTTGAGTTGTTTATGACTTCCCCTAGTGTATAGCACAAACCTATACATTTACAATACAGGAAGGGTTTTACTGTTTTTATTTAATGTCATAACATAAGTGAATATATCATAGATGTTTAAAGTTCACTGATTTATATTGGAGAAAAACAGTATTTGATGTAAAAATTTGGATTATTGCTATTTAAAAACTAACATTTACTATGGCTAAATTTTCTATAATAAAGAATAAAATGAGAGAACTTATAACAAAACTGCACTATAACTGTCTTGTGCCATTATTCTCCTGTTCTATTTCTGCTGACTTAGCCTTTTTTCTCTGCACGAGAAATAGGTCTGGAGCCACACTGACTTTTTAATCCTGTCCCTCACTTGACTTGAGGAAGGCTATTTTATCACTGGTAGCTAAATTTCTACTCTATGAAATATGAATGATGTAATAGGCCTCAATGAGTTTTCTGAAAACTGGATGAATATATGCAAAAATTCTAACTTGGAGTCTGAGACTTGGAAAATATCCTATCCATATGAGCCCAAATTAAAATTTAAAACTATGCAATAAAATTACAGCCTCTATACCTGTGTGTTTACATTTAAATGAATTGAAATTGAATTAAGTGAAATATATTCTTCCGTCTCACTAACCCCGTTTCAGTGATGCATACGTAGCCTGTGTCTTAGTTTGGGTTCTATTGTTGTGAAGAGACACCATGGCCACAGCAACTGTTATAAAGGACAACATTTAATTGGGGCATGCCTACAGTTTCAGAGGCTTAGTCCATTATTCCCATGGTGGGAAACGTGGCAGCATGCAGGCATGGCGCTGGAGAAGGAGCTGAGAGTTCTACATCTTGGCCACAGGCAGTCGGGAGTGATCTGACTCAAGCTTCTGAGACCGTAAAGCCTGCCCCCACAGTGACACACTTCCTCCAACAAGGCCACACCTTTCAATAGTGCCATCCCCTATGGGTCAAGCATTCAAACATGTAATTCTATGGAGTCCATTCCCCTTCAAGCCACCATACCTTGTGTGGACCATGTCTGTCATTCTAAACAGTGGTACACTAGAAAGACCTGTGAAAACTGAGGTAACAAGGAGACTCTAAAGAATTTGATCACCTCCAACTATAGAGTTAATTGCAATGTCCTTCAATACTTTGGGAATAAATTATTGCATTGCTAAAAGGCTTTGCTGTGCAGAGGCCCATGAGCAATGATACCCTCTCGACTCCTTCCAAGAATGGAGATGGGAAAGCTGTTTCAAGAGTTAGTGAGCTAATGGCCTGAGATAGACCGGGTCTCATGTTGGAATCAGTCAGACAACCTCAGTATCTGCTCAGAGTCAAATGCCAGCTCAGCTCTGGACATCACAGGCATGTGCAGGGCCAGCCTCGCCTTCTTAGAGTGCATGAGTACATTATCCCTTCTGTTTTCTATAGTCTGCTAGCCCCTACCAAATAAAAAACACATGTCATGCATCTTCACTACTCCAGTCTTGTCTTTGTCTAACAGAGTCCATCTTGACAAACTTTGTTCGTAGATGATGTAGGTCTAGCACCCACAATATACTATCAGTATCAATGTGTGGAGGAGGGGTTGCTATTATTTCTCTTTGTTTTTAAATTGTTGTTGCATGGATTCATTGTTCATGATATTTTGTTGTTCTGTTTTGGTTTTTTTTTAAACACCAGATTATAAAGCCCCAGGATCCCATGCTAATCACCACAGAGGTGCCTAAAGACTTCCACCTTTCAATCGGAGCCTGCTTGGAAAGTGAAATATATATTAACTGGTTATAGACATGGACCATAAGGAATACGACTGTTTTCATGATGGTCAATTGCACTGTTAGATTTCATTTCAAACTGTCAGCATCTCCAAGAAAGGAAAGTGACCTAGGTTGCTAAAATGTTTATCAGGCATCCTGCTTTTTAGCCTCTCCAAGCCTGACCCCATCCTTAATACCCCCCTCACATTGAGAAAGGAGCCCAGCTTACAAGTAGATTTCTGTTTCAGTCTTGACCATGTATTAACTATATGTTCAGAGCCGAGTATATGTGTGTAACGTATATATCATCACTGTCTTTCAAAATATCATCAACATCATCAGCATCACCCTTACCAGATTGTTGCAGTTAATACAAGCAGTGCATGAAGGACAACTGTCCCACAGACATTTTCTAGGTTGGTGACTCAGACAGACATTAATGCATACACAGATTCACTTTCCCTCTTTGTAACCCACCCAAGGCCAGGCTGCTTTTATAACTAATGTTATAATTAATTACCCGTGGCTGTGTAACAACATACCCCAAAACTGAGTGACATGAAACACCATATCTCCATTTGAACAGACCAGGACTCTAGGTCTGCTGTGTCGTCAAGCCAGAAGCTCTCCCAAGCTGCAGCACAACTGAAGAAGTCTGCTTCAAGCTCTCTCCCAGGCAGAGCTGTTGGCAAGAGTCAGTTCCTTGAAGGCATTTGGATTGAGGATGCACACTGGCTATTGACTAGAGGCCGCCTTTACTTTCTTACGGTCCTGGGCTCCCCACGGAGCAAGTTGATGACAAAATTCAAGTATGTAGAGTACCAGAAGGACTGGAATCACAGGGTTTGGAAGCTTCAACCATCTTGGAAATGAAAGTCCATAATTTCTACTATAGCTATTGCTTAGAATCAGGGTACTGGATTCAGCTCCCATAAAGGAATCACACCAGGGTCCAGAAAGAAAGAGGTGTGCCAGGGGCCATCTTGGTGCTCTTTCCCACAAGCCAGGCTTTTTATTACATTCTCCTGTGACTGCTATTTGGACTTCAGATGATGTAGAAAAATGAATGTTCCCTTCCAACAGGAACATAGCGACTCAACAGCTAAAGGAATCCCAGGGCTATGTCCAGGGCCCAGCTATAATCAAATTGCTTTTATTGAAGTGACAATAGTAGACAGAATCTGGCAACACTCAAAGGCCATGCTCACTAAATGCCACATTCCTAAGCAATATTGAAAGCAAAACATGAGGCTTGTGTTTCTCATAAATTTCATCTATGGTCTGCATGTTACCTTGGCTGAGGAAGGAGTACACTACATACCACTCACCTCCACAGACTTGTCTCAGCACAGTCCCAAATTCCAACCTTTTGTTTTCAATTCATTCCAAGATGCATATGTAATCTTCACCAAGAGAACTCCCAGACGAGTTTCCAGAAGAATGTTCAGAGACCAAGTTGCTCCTTAGAAACAGTAAGCCCAGGAAAGTCTTGCGACCACATGCCTTCTCTGCGGCCTACGGAACCATCAAATGGCTCTCAAACCTGCTAGGCCTCTCCTCTTCTAAGCCACGATGAGTGACTTCTGGATGTGGAGAGACATCATTTCCTCACATGTATTTGGCTGTGTGTGGTGAATGAATGAGAGACCTGGACTTGATTCCATGGCCTGAAACATGGACGTTTTAATTTCCTCTGACTAAAATTGGGAGACATAAAACAAGATGAGATGATTGCCCTTTCTGTAGCTTCTCATAAATGACTCCCTGGTAGTCACTTTGGAAGCAGATCTGAGTTCAACACCTCTGAACATGCCTCAGAAAACTTCTCTGTGCCCTTCACGCCCATGTGAACATAGAGCATTAGTTTCCTTACCTATTGGCCTTCTGATTAGATAACTCTCTTGCTTAGTCTGTGATATAATACAAGATGTCACTAAATAACCCAAACTCTGTTGAGACTTTAGGAGTTTTTTTTCAGTCAGAATTCATTGTAACCCTTCTTTGCTTACTTTTGTACCCATTTTGTATTCTTCATAATCAGGATTATCCATCTGTCTCCCCTGTGACCTAAAAACTCTTTGAAAGCAAAAACTGTCTCTTGGACATTGTAGTCTCCTGGAACAACCATAAATTTAGAATGTGATACAGAGCAGGGTGATAATATCTGGTCAGCTAGATATTTGACATTTTAAAATATTAAGATTGAGTTGGAGTGAGAGCTCAGTTAATAAACTACTTGCTGTGCAAGCATGAGGACCCTAGTTCAACCCTTGTAACTGACATAAAAGAAAAAACTAGACATGGTAGCACAGGTATGTGACCTCAGCACTGGGGAAACAGAGGAAGGCAGGTCTCTGGAGCTCACTGGCCAGCATGCATTGCCCCAATGAATGTGAAAGACTCTGTCTCCAAAAACAGTGTGGATAGCTCACAAGGAATGACACCTGAGACTGTCCCCCAGTCTCCCCCTACAAGCAAACTCTTGCGTGTCCACCAGATACATACTTGGGTACCCACAAACATGAACCCATATATGCAAACTCATAAAAACTGAGATTTCAGTAGATGAACTAATAGTAGACAGAATATTCTGCACGGTGTCCAGCATCTGAGATGTGGATCAAAGAGATGGACCAATGCTGGAGGCTAGCAGTTTTTAGCTGATGACACATATCTATCCAGACACAAGTGAATTGCAGTGCTAAATACAATGTACATGTCTGTCCGTGTAAATGAAGGTACTTATTTTGACTGACTCCTTTAAAAGGAATAAAAACTACATGCAGGCTAGAAAGAGTCACTTGTCTAATTCTTAAAAATTGATGAGTTTCTCATATTTTACATAAAAAATAATTGCTTCATCGTCACATTTCATAGGACGGATTCTAATGTCACTCAGACTTAGCTACAGTGTACAAGCATTTGTACTGAAACGAGACACCATGATTCTCTCATTTCCATTGCTTCATGTTGAAAAAAATGGAATCTTCTGAAAAGAAGCAAAATCAGTTAAAACAGGACAGAAACAAGGAGCAAATGGAAAGCAACTTTTGTTATTGAGTATCTGGAGATCAATAATGGATTGACTCACATTGTTAAGTGCAGAAACACCCTTGTAAAATGATTCCCAATAGACTCTTTCCTACAGGTGTCATGCTACATAACAACAATGACAATGCCTCTTTGTGTGTGTGTGGGGGGCTTGTATGTGTACACCAAGTGCTATTCTAACACACTTCACATTCAAACTACATTTGACCCTGCCGAACTCCATGTGGTATGGACTATGAATGTCCTTGGGTTTTCACAATTAAAAACTATACTATGTGACTTCACAGTTAAAAAGAAAAAACATTCCTTTCAGCAACAATGAACTGAAAGAATGAATTCTTTCAGTAGAATAAACAAAAATAAGTAAATAAAAGGATATATCCAGATTTGCTCCTGTTAAACTTTGTTCTTGGTAGAGTCTTGGGCCTGGGTGGGAGAGGCTTGAATTCTGAGTGAATTCCTGCACATGTTTAAACAGTTTTAATGACTCACATCCTTCCATTTGTTCATCCTTTGCAATTCTTCCTTTTGCTACACTAGTTCCAGTTTTTATAACAATATGGGAAAGACAAGAGAGTCATTGGACTCTTTCCTCTGAGGCAGCATTTGGGCCCACTACTCAGCTTTAATAGATAATCCCACCTCGGTTGCCTGCTACCTGAGTGTTAGATACCACAACTGTCTAATCTGTATGTCCTAGAGTTTTAATTATGTACAGCCAACTGTGACCCAAATATGACAAATGGAAAATTCCAGA